AGTCTTCGCAATTATGTGCTATGCATCAGAGAGTTGGACAGTGAATAGAGTTGATAGAAGGAGAGAATTGATGCCTTTGAGCTTTGGTGCTGGAGAAGTGTTGAATATACCATGGACTGTTAGAAGAACAAATAGGTTTGTCCTGGAGAAGGTAAAGTGAAAATGTTCGTTGAAGTCAAGGATTCTGAGGCTTCGTCTGACATACTTTGGGCATGTTGCAAGGAGGGACTGGTCCTTGGAGAGGGATATCATGTTTGGGAGAGTGGAGGTGCAGCGAAGGAGAGGAAAACCTTCGATGAGATGGATTGATTTTGTAACTGGAGTGGTGGGAATGAGTGTGTTTGAGACGGTGAGGTTGGCACAGGATAGAACAGCATTTAGAGCTCTTGTACATAGGGTCGCTATGAGTTGCAAACGACTTGATGGCACATAATAACAACAACATTCTAAACAAATCTGTTATGCTATTTATTCACAAGGTAAATCTAAACACACTAATGGCTTTGTTAAGTTGCCACAAATGACGGCAAATATGTTTCTAAGCAAGGCTATCAATTTAAAAAGTGTGCGGCAATGCGTTAATCAGTTAAACCTATAAAAAGAGCATCTGCTAACAATTCCTTTAATCATCAAATACACTACAGAAAGAGATGACAAGGACATGAAAAGAAATCACTACAAGAAAAAACATAGGATATGCGCTGCCTTTGAGCCCTTGGCGTGCCGGCCTCATGGTGCTGGGTTTAAACTGCAGTGGAAGACCATAAATTCACCCAAAACTGGGGCCCCAGCCCGCTGCTGGGGGATCAGGCCATCTAACCGGGTATGTATCTTGGGTCTCAACTCCTGGGATGATGTCTTGGGAAATGAATAGTAGGCTCTGCAACTAAATGCACGGCTTGTGTGCTGCTGATGAGTGGGACCAGCGCGCACTGAAACTTAACCAGTCCTTGGATGTCATCAAATAAACTTTAGGTGTTATTGCAAGGATGGAAAAGAAAAGAAAAAGAAAAAGATATAGGATGACTTTCCACCCAACAAAAATTTCCAAGCTTATGCAATTATGAGAGCCTAGATGAGCCACACAACTGAGTTCGATGAAGTATACTCCTAACAGATAATGATTTTTACGTTTAATATTTTTTCTACAATACAGTCATTTTTCTGAGTAAATAAAAAACTTCCTTGTTAAAAACCAATCTTTTAAATCCACCAGATGCTCTGCTGGAGAAGGAGGGACAATCGCCTCTTGTATCAGTCAGATCCAATTTGACGGTACACACACACACACACAAAAAAATAAAAAACAAACACACACACACACACACACACACAAAATCCTAAACCAATCTCCTAAAGAACTTATATATAAGATAAAAATAGTAAGAACTAAGAGCAAAACTCTCAAAAAATCCTCAAATTCACTTTGTTAAAAAACAGAAAACTAACAATCTAGTAAGTTACATGTATAATGTGTCTAAACTCCAAAAATTGTTCCAAGTATGGGACAAAGAAACGAAATGGCTGCAGAAAGATCTCATTTGATCAAATTGTACATTGATAAGCCTTATCACTATTCTTTAAACAGATGGGCTAAAATATCTTCAATGTTTGGGTGTTTTTTTTAAAAAATTATGTGTGTACATTTTGCTTCATTCCTATACATTGTGTTTCACACATTCTTTCATTCACATTTCTACCAAATTTTTGACAAACAAAACAAAAAGCCTGATCTCAACAACAACAACAAAAAAAACCTTAAAGAACTTAATTTTTTATCAGTCTTAACAAATATACATCTATTCAGAATATGATTTAATGATAAAATTAAGACATTAAAGGATGTTAGGGTAATAGCCGTTATTTATAGAGTATCTACTATGTTTCAATAATTCTGCTGCGGAGATATTATTGTATTTTTTTAAGGTACATATTTTGAAGATGAGAATGTCACCTGTAAGAGGTTACTGTCTCACTGTTAGTAACACTAACACAAAACCTCCAGTCTTTAGGGCAGGCACCAGAGTTTATACCAGTGAAGACAAACCACAACCAAAACATTATGCTGACAGCATGTGGAATTGTTAACTCTAAACTGCCATAACAATTTCATCCACACCAGGAAATCTCTTAGACTTCAGCACTAAGTGCTGGCAACCTGGGTCTGCTTTCTCTGTACTCTGTGACGCATGCAATTATTACCTCATTAGATCTCATTATCGTCCTCAGGAGGGGAGACTTTACAATAACTTAAGCTTATCAGTACTCTTGGACTTACCTAAGCTTGACCTTGTGTTGGATCTTTCTATTATTGCGTGCTTACTCGGGTTGTTTAATACTGAGCGTTTGGCAAGCGAGATGTCAGCAGTGACCCTTGTGATGGATATCCTGTTGGGATGAAAATCAACAAAGACCTTGAGGTTACTAATTTAATAGAAAGAGAAGTGCATGGATAACATGAAGTATAAAAATACAGACAGTTTTGTTGTTAAACGGGACTGACATTGTGGTTGGGGGGAGACTGAGAAAGAGGGGATAAATTATGTATACTGCATTGAAACAGATGAGGGATAGAACTGTTTAAAAGGGATATATAATTAGGGATTATAGTCATGACAGGAGTCCAGAATGAAGGCTGCATAGTGGAGTGGACCTGGGGGGAGGGATTGTATAACAATGAAAGGATTTCAATCTTTCACTTTTCAAAGAGAAGAGTGAACTGGGGGAAGGGATAGGTAGGGAGAAAAGCACAACAATGAATGAACGGAAATCCAAAGTCTCTGTAAACTTTCATTAATAATAATAATAATAATAATAATAATAATAATAATAATAACAACAACAAACAAACAAACAAAAATACAGTGGTCTTATTTTCCAAACCAAAAAAATGTTACTACATTTAACCATTCATTTTGTTTGCCATATTTTTATCAGCCTCCCTTACTTACAGATTGCTTAACAAGTACCAACTATGAACTAAGTACTTTACCTCAATTATCTCATTAAATCATCCCCAAAATGCTCAGATAGGACAATGAACATTTTAAGGACCAGGATATTGGAGGATCAACTTGGGAAGAACTGATCTAAGGACAATATGGCTATTGCAATTAGCAAGTAAGAACAAGACGTGAAACTGTTCAAAAGGGGAAGGGGCAGTGGGGTATGGAAAAAAGGGAGGGACAGCAGAGATTTGGGGGTAGATCAGGGTGGGTCAAACAACAGCAAAGGTGCTATGGGGACTTGATGAAACTGGACAATAGAATAATTAATTAAATAAAACCCAATGTACAGAAATTACTGCATAAATTAAAATGGACAAGAATAAATGATTATGTAAATGTGAATGTATAAAACACAAAGTAAATGAAAGAAACATAATATCTATGAATGTATGTGAACTAATAATTTTTTTAAAAAATCAAAACTCTAAGAAAAGGATCTATTATCCACTGCCTGCCAGTGAAATTGTAAAAATTAGTCCTAAGTAGACTCTTCAAGGCTGTACGTGGCAGTCTGAACCCCAAGCTGCTCAGAGGGAGAAAGATATGACCATATGCCTCTGTAAAGATTTGTTGTTATTGTTCTGTGCTGTTGAATCACTTGTGACTCATAGCAACACTAGATACAATAGCTCTGAACCCTGCCTGCTCTTTCCTGAGCCAACCTTATCATCTCTGACACAGCTACCCCCATTACTGCAGTCACTGGTCAATCTATCTTATCTTGGAATCCCTATAGGGCTGTTCTTCTCTGTACTACTGGGTTTATATAATTCCAATCACCTGGATTACAATTGGCTTATTTGTCCAATTAAAAAAAAAAAGTTACATGGGTCACTGATCTTTGTGGAATATACTCCCAAAAAGGATAAAAATAAATAATGGGAAAATCATGACCATGAAGTTCAATAAAATCTCCTCTATGACAAAGACATTTGTTAAACATAAAACTAGCTCAATTTAAAACAAAGAAATTAACTTCACATAGTAGTATGCTTTCATTCTTGCTTCCTCCTAAGATAATTCTAAGCATTTTGAGTTTGATGAAAATGGAGATACTTTTAATTTGCAAATGAATGAGGATGGGCGGCCAAGCCACAGAAACCACCTCAACTTGATGGTCATTTTAGAAAAGAGGAAATGATTTGGTCACAGTACAAATATGCAAGGAGAACTGTTTAAAAGCAATATATGATTAGGTATTATTATCATGACAGGAATCCAGAATGAACGCTGCATAGTGGAGTACAATTGGGGAAAGGGATTGTATAACAGTGAAAGAATTTTTCTTTTACTTTTCAAAGAGAAGAGCAAATTGAGGGGGGGAGTGGGCAGGGAGAAATATGCAATAATGAATGAATGGAAATCCAAAGTCTCTGTAAATGTTTATTAAGATTAATTAAAAACAACAACAACAACAACAACTAAGCAAGGATTCATTTTCTACTCGATAGTCTCCTTAAGTCTTGTCTAGAGAGCAAAAAATGGGACATGGGATTATAGGGCAATGAGTGTCTCTCTGAAAGGACCAGAGGGAGTGAGAATAGGCCCTCACCACCCCAGAGCAAAAAGCAGATAAAGATTCCACAGCCCAGCTTCATGGTGTCTCTAGATCCACACCAACAGCAAGAGGCTTGTTTATTCGTTGTAGATTCGTAGACTTTACTCACAGTTGTTAATACTGAGAGTAGAGTTTATAAGAGAATAAGCTGGAGATGGGGGAAGAAAAGGGTAGCACACAAGCAAGTCCTGGTTTTAGTCCAACAGTTCCAATGCACAATTCGTCAATTGGTACAGGCTTTCATTTCCATTCTGCAAACAGCTTCTATTTCCATTTGTCAAAGGCAATAACAGTAAAATTGTTTACTGTGGCTTTTATCTCAAGGCTCCTCTTTTGTTGTTATGTGCCATCAGGTCCCTTGTGACTCATAGCGACCTTATGTACAACAGCCCTAAACTCTACTCTGTCCTGTGCCAGTCGCACTGTCTCTGACACTCCCATCCCAATTATCCCAGTCACTGAATTAATCCACCTCATAGAGTGCCTTCCCCTCCTGCGCTGTCCCTCCACCCTCCCAAGCATGATGTCCTTCTCCAAGGACTGGTCTCTCCTCACAACATGTCCAAAGTATGTTAGATGGAGCCTCAGAATCCTTGCCTCCAAGGAGCCGCCCGGTTTAACCCTTTCCAGGATGAATCTGTTTGTTTTCTTAGCAGTCCATGGTATTCTCAATACTCTTCCCCAGCACCACAGCTCAAAGGCATTAATTTTCCTTCTATCTTCCTTGGTCATTGTCCAACTCTCTGATGCATAACAAGTGATTGCGAAGACCCTGGCCTGTATCAGACGCACCTTAGTCTCCAGAGAGACACCATTGCTCTTCAGTACTTTGGAGGGTCCCTAACAGCAGACTTTCCCATGGCAATGCGCCTTTTAATTACCTGGCTACTGGTGCTGAGAGTGTTGACTGTGGAGCCAAGCAAATTAAAGCTGTGAACAATCTCTAGTTACATCTTATCCATGGCAATACTAGTCTCTCCACCACAATCACTAGGGTCTTGTCACCAGGGTCTTACTCTAGCTTTCATCAAGGCTTGATGCCCAGTGTGGGAAGCGCTCTTTTGCTCATGCACGCATGTGCTCGCAAGTGCGTGTGTGTGTGCTCGCTCTCACTCATTCTCTCTCTCTCTCTCTCTCTCTCTCGTGCATTCTCTCCCTCCCTCCCCACTCTCTCTCCCTCTCTCTTTCTCTTCTTAGTCCCACAGCTGTTGATTTGCAAAACCATGTGTCTGCAGCTCATGTCGATGGAGACAAAAAGTGGCTGAGGTAATGCCTATAAAAGCCAACTTTAGGCTAACACTGCAAGTCTTCATATCAACAGGCCTAAATGAGCACTGCCTGTATTTCTGACCACTTAAATACACCAAGTGTATGTTAATGTCTCTGTGCTTCAGTTATTTGTGACACCTTCCATATACTTTTTCTAAGGAAAACTGTTGAAGAAACTGGTGTTTTTAAATGACAGAATAAGTGTCTTGGGATCCGTAAAAGAGGGATTCTAACCCAAAAGAAAGGTGAAAGAACCTTCAGAACTATGTATGTCATGGGTGCTCCCTAATGACAAAAACATGCCCAGCACAGAGTGAAATGAGAAGTACAATCAGGTTGCTCCTTGGAGACAAAGATGGTGAAAATATGTCTCACTTACTTTACGCTTGTTGCCAGGAGAGGCTAGTACTTGGCAAAGGACATCATGATGGGAAAAGAAGAGGGTCAGTGAAAGAGAGCATGACCCTCAAGGAGATGGATTGACACAGTGACTTTAACAACGGGCATGAGCACAGTGGAGACTGTGAAAAGGACATAGGGCAGGGTGTTGATCTGTCACTCAAGGGGTGGTTATGAGTTTTAGTTCACCGGAAAACACCTAGAAACAACAATAACAACAGCCGATGAAGGAGCCCTGGTGGTGTAGGAGTTGAAATGTTAGGTTTTTAAGTGAAAGCTTGGCAGTTGCAATCCACCAGCTGCTCTTCAGGAGAAGGATGAAATAGTTTCGTCCTGTGAAGATTTATAGACACCCCCCCCCCAACCACCCTGATGATTCTACATGTGGAACAGATTATCTGGGAGGTTGGGCTCTATGCGGAGGAATGTGGCATCAGGATTGGAGGTAGACTCATCAACAATATGCGTTATGCAGATGACACAACCCCGCTTGATGAAACTGAGGATCTGAAGTGCTTGCTGCAGAATGTCAAAGACTGCAGCTTTCAATATGGATTGAAGCTCAACATCAAACAATATGCGTTATGCAGATGACACAACCCCGCTTGATGAAACTGAGGATCTGAAGTGCTTGCTGCAGAATGTCAAAGACTGCAGCTTTCAATATGGATTGAAGCTCAATATCAAGAAAACAAAGATTCTCACCACTGAGCCGATTGGAAGCATCATGATAGATAGTGAAGAGATTGAGACTGTTAATAGCTTTAGTTTGCTTGGCTCTACAATCAACACTCTAGGTACCAGTAGCCAGGAAATGAGAAGACAAAGTGCATTGGGAAAGTCTGCTGTCAGAGACCTCTCCAAAGTCCTGAAGAGCAATGATGTCAGTCTGGAGACTAAGATGTGCCTGATACAGGCCATGGTCTTTGTAATTACTTGCTATGCATCAGAGAGCTGGACAATGACTAGGGATGACAGAAGAAGTGTTGGTGCTTTTGAGTTTTGGTGCTCAAGAAAAGTATTGAATACGCCATAGACTGCTAAGAGAACAAACAAGTTCACCCTGGAGAGGGCGAAGCCAGGTTGCTCCTTAGAGGCAAGGATTCTGAAACTTCGTCTGACATACTTTGGACATGTTGTAAGGTGGGACCAGT